TCACAATTTGTTATGTTGCAGCCTTATGTTAAACTGCTTTAAATTACTTTTTTTCCACATCAATCTACACTCCATACACCATAATGACAAAGCAAATAACAGGTTTTTAACATAAAAATTTATAAAAGATAAAAAACTTAAATGATTCCATTGCATAAGTATTCTGTATCTGTTGAAGTTGAAATTTAGCTCAGGAGCATTCATTTTGCTTGTAAATGTTACTACACTTTGAGTAAAGCCAACCTGTGGCAAACTCAATTAAATGGGTATGATTTGGAAAGGCACACGTCTTAATAAAAGGTCTAACAGCTGAAAATGCGTATTAGAGCAAAGATGAAGTCCTGAGGTCAAAAGAACTGCCTGTAGAGCTCAGAAACAGGTTTGCATCAAGCCACACATCTGTGGAAGAGTTCAGAAAAAAATTCTGCTGCATTGAAGGTTAAAAGAAGCATGTAGCCTCCGTTATCCGTAATGGAAAACGTTTGGAACAACCAGGCCTCTTCCTAGAGCTGGCCTCCTGGCCAAACTGAGCAACTGATGGAGAAGGGCTTTGGTTAGACTGGTGAGCAAGAACCTGATGGTCACTCTAGTTGAGCTCCATGATCATATGTGCAGATAGGAGAAACCTACAGAAGGACAAACATCGCTGCAACACTCTACCAATCTGTGCTTTATGGCGGTGTGGTCAGACTCAATCCTCTCTTCAGTAAAGACACATGAAAACACATTTAGAATTTGCAAAAATGCACCTAAAGGGCCCTCAGAATTTGAGAAACAATATTCTCTGGTCTGATGAACCTCAATTCTAAGCATCATGTTTGAAGGAAACTAGCTCCGCTCATCACCTGCAGAGTACCATCCCAAAAGTAACGTGTGCTGGTAGCAGCCTCATGCTGTGGGGCTGTTTTTCAGAGGCAGGGACTGAGGGACTCGTCAGAGTAATAGAAAAGCTCAATGCACCAAAATATTGAGATCCTCAGAAATACAGAACCTCAGACTGAGCAGAAGGCTTGCCTTCCAACGGGACAGTGACCCTAAGCACACAGCAAGTGTGGCTTATAGACGACTCTGTGAATGTCCTTGAGTGGTTCAGCCAGAGCCTGGGATGGAACCCAATCAAATATTTCTGGAGAAACCTGAAAATGTGCATCTGCCCCCATCCAACCTGACAGAGCTCGAGAGGTGAACAGGTGAGGTGAAGAATGGCAGATAATTGCCAAATGATGATGAGCAAAGCTTGTCACATCATACCCAAAAATACTTGAGGCTGTTAAGGTGTTTCAGCTAAGTACTGAGTACTTATGCAATGTACTTATTTCAGTTTTTTTTATATAAATTTACAAAGTTATGACAGTTCTGTTTTGCTTTGCCATTGTGATGTATGGAGTGTACACTCTAAAAAAAAAAGCCTTGACTTTAATTTTAAGTTTAAAAAATAAGTTTCTCTTTGACTGTTACAATAGTGTTTATAAAGCACACATGTGATGGCAAGGATCTTATGGTAAAATCATTTAATGCGTCTGAGTCTCTGGTTGCATTTTTTCAAAATCTGTAGTTTTTTTATGAGTATTATGTTATTGCAGTTCTACGATACTACGTGACAATGTGAGAAAATTGTATAAAACACTTTTAGAATTATGGGTTATAAAGAGGTTTCAAGTCTGTCACGCATAGACATGAAGAATCAGCATGTGAATCTCAGCAATGGGGACAAAATGTTCTGATAATTTTTATATGATTTTTGAACATCACAAAACAGGGCAGTAAAAAGTCACAACAAAAATAACAGCAAATAGTAAGAATAAAAGAAAATACTAAGACAATGCAGCTGCATAATATATTAATGTCGCAATGCATGCTGGGAGCCATGGATGAGTTATGATTGGTGCACCATTGTTGAGTACTATATGTGATATAAGTGCTATATGGCACCTCTTATGGTTCTACATGGCACCATTTGACAAAGGTGCTATATAGAACCTGTAAAAATAGGTGCTAAACAGCACTAAAAATGGTTCCCCTATGATTACAAGCCAAAGAACCGCTTTTAGTGCTATATAGCACCATTTTTTTTAGTGTAGATTGATGTGGGAAAAAAGTAATTTAAAGCAGTTTAACATAAGGCTCCAACATAACAAAATGTGAACAAAATTAAGGGGTTTGAATACTTTCGCAAGGCACTGTATATATGTTGTTGACGTAAGTGGTTGCTAAATATAATACCACATAAAAATCATTGTACAGATATTTTATATATCATTGTACAGATATACAAATTTTGCTATATATACGTTATATAAACTTCTACCCAGAGAATGTATGCATGTGAAAATTTAATATCACCTTATAGGTAATATATATCAATATCACTCCTGATGCAGGGCGATATATGTCATATATTACATTTCTGAATGGGTTATTAATGCCATATTCATAAAACCTCTCATTATTCCCCAGTCCTTTTATATTTTTTGCAGTAATGTGCATGAAACTAACTAAAGCATAGAATGTATGTAAGTAACATCAAAAATATAAATGTATGCTACAATGGTAAATAAGATTTTGAATTTTAATTATTATTATTTGATCATTTTTTTGATTTTGCATTATTATGTATTAATTAACATGTAGGGTTAGGGTTTGATTTAGTGTTGTATTGATTAACTGGTGTTGTTATCACACTAAATGCATGCAACACCTGTGACTACGGCACTTGAAAATAAAGTGCTCCATTTTTAACAGTTCAAATGTAATTACACATGCCAGACACATTTCTAGAATGCATGATCAAAACTGGACTTGTTTTGTGACTCCTTCCACGTTCATATGGGTAAAGAAAGTGCATCCATCAAATAGAGTTTAATCTCTGGAACAAAGATGAATCTTGTCGCTGTGAATGAGATCTTTGACTCTTTGAGGCTGGGATGGAAATGAGAGCGCGTTTCCTCGGCTGTGGAGCCATACCTCTCTCTTTGTGCTGCTGTTCCTGGACTCTCCAGGGAAGATGGATGTCTTTTCAACCCTTACATCTGACTTGTCAACATAAATCATGGAGAACTGGGCCAAACAGGGGCCATTGGCATCAAACTGATGGGAAAAAATTTACTCACGGCTTGACTGTGAAATGGACTCATTAGGACATGTTTAACTCCTGATGATAAGCTAGCAGATTGAGACATATGTGTGATGTCATGTGTGACACATTAATAAGGCTAGAAAGAAATTTGTCAAGTGCTTTGTAATTACTGCCTTTAGAAGTTCATAGTAGGAGTCATTCAAAATAATTCAGGCAGAAAATTAGAGAACGCACATGGGACTTTCTTCTTTATTGAAGCACGCAAAGACTATTTTCAAACAGCAGAAGCGTTAGTTACGTAAAATTAAAAAGTTATGTAAAATCTTCCCCTCTAATCTCATTTGCGCTTCCACATGTTTGACCATGCTGAAGATCCACAGCACCAGATATCATGTCATTGCTGCCAAAATATAATTTATATATAAATATGAATCACAATCGCATGAAGAAAGCCTTGAGGTCAATCTGTATATGTTATTATTATTAAATGGATTAACAACGAACAATTGTATTTTTATTATTATTAACTAATGTTAACAGAGATTTATGCCACAGAATGGCTTCAGAAGACTGCAGCAAAGCAGGATGAATATATTGGTTTTATGCAAATTAAAAACCAATAAATAAAATAAATAAATCTGCGTAAATTGGTTCGCTTTTGCCTGTTGGTTGGTTGTAGAAGGTTTTAGACATGTTTCAGCTCCCAGCTAAACCAGGCCGGGGTATCAGCTAAGACCAGTTTAAATAAATAAATATTACATCGACCTTATGGATGTCAGGATGTCGTGTTTTGCCCCTGTTTCTGTTCCTGTTTTTTCCTTATTTGGTCATGTTCCTGTCCTCGTTTAGTTTGATTATGACTCCTGACACCTGTGTTTAGTAATTATCCCTTGTATTTAAGTTCCTGCTCCAGGGAAGATGGATGTCTTTTCAACCCTTACATCTGACTTGTCAACATAAATCATGGAGAACTGGGCCAAACAGGGGCCATTGGCATCAAACTGATGGGAAAAAATTTACTCACGGCTTGACTGTGAAATGGACTCATTAGGACATGTTTAACTCCTGATGATAAGCTAGCAGATTGAGACATATGTGTGATGTCATGTGTGACACATTAATAAGGCTAGAAAGAAATTTGTCAAGTGCTTTGTAATTACTGCCTTTAGAAGTTCATAGTAGGAGTCATTCAAAATAATTCAGGCAGAAAATTAGAGAACGCACATGGGACTTTCTTCTTTATTGAAGCACGCAAAGACTATTTTCAAACAGCAGAAGCGTTAGTTACGTAAAATTAAAAAGTTATGTAAAATCTTCCCCTCTAATCTCATTTGCGCTTCCACATGTTTGACCATGCTGAAGATCCACAGCACCAGATATCATGTCATTGCTGCCAAAATATAATTTATATATAAATATGAATCACAATCGCATGAAGAAAGCCTTGAGGTCAATCTGTATATGTTATTATTATTAAATGGATTAACAACGAACAATTGTATTTTTATTATTATTAACTAATGTTAACAGAGATTTATGCCACAGAATGGCTTCAGAAGACTGCAGCAAAGCAGGATGAATATATTGGTTTTATGCAAATTAAAAACCAATAAATAAAATAAATAAATCTGCGTAAATTGGTTCGCTTTTGCCTGTTGGTTGGTTGTAGAAGGTTTTAGACATGTTTCAGCTCCCAGCTAAACCAGGCCGGGGTATCAGCTAAGACCAGTTTAAATAAATAAATATTACATCGACCTTATGGATGTCAGGATGTCGTGTTTTGCCCCTGTTTCTGTTCCTGTTTTTTCCTTATTTGGTCATGTTCCTGTCCTCGTTTAGTTTGATTATGACTCCTGACACCTGTGTTTAGTAATTATCCCTTGTATTTAAGTTCCTGTTTGTTCAGTCTTCCTTTGTCGGTTCTACTCGTTGGATGTTGTGTCACATACCCACATATCCCCTTCCACATACACATACACACACACACACACACACACACAAACACAAACACACAAAAACAAGTAGATAGAATAGAAAAAAAATAGAAAGCTATTGTTAGTTTGTTTGTTTGTTTTTTATAAAAAAGATAAATAGATAAAGAGGCTAGAAAGAAATTTGTCAAGTGCTTTGTAATTACTGCCTTTAGAAGTTCATAGTAGGAGTCATTCAAAATAATTCAGGCAGAAAATTAGAGAACGCACATGGGACTTTCTTCTTTATTGAAGCACGCAAAGACTATTTTCAAACAGCAGAAGCGTTAGTTACGTAAAATTAAAAAGTTATGTAAAATCTTCCCCTCTAATCTCATTTGCGCTTCCACATGTTTGACCATGCTGAAGATCCACAGCACCAGATATCATGTCATTGCTGCCAAAATATAATTTATATATAAATATGAATCACAATCGCATGAAGAAAGCCTTGCGGTCAATCTGTATATGTTATTATTATTAAATGGATTAACAACGAACAATTGTATTTTTATTATTATTAACTAATGTTAACAGAGATTTATGCCACAGAATGGCTTCAGAAGACTGCAGCAAAGCAGGATGAATATATTGGTTTTATGCAAATTAAAAAACAATAAATAAAATAAATAAATCTGCGTAAATTGGTTCGCTTTTGCCTGTTGGTTGGTTGTAGAAGGTTTTAGACATTTTTCAGCTCACAGCTAAACCAGGCCGGGGTATCAGCTAAGACCAGTTTAAATAAATAAATATTACATCGACCTTATGGATGTCAGGATGTCGTGTTTTGCCCCTGTTTCTGTTCCTGTTTTTTCCTTATTTGGTCATGTTCCTGTCCTCGTTTAGTTTGATTATGACTCCTGACACCTGTGTTTAGTAATTATCCCTTGTATTTAAGTTCCTGTTTGTTCAGTCTTCCTTTGTCGGTTCTACTCGTTGGATGTTGTGTCACATACCCACATATCCCCTTCCACATACACATACACACACACACACACACACACACACACACACATACACACACACACACACAAACACACACACACACAAACAAACAAACACAAACACACAAAAACAAGTAGATAGAATAGAAAAAAAATAGAACGCTATTGTTAGTTTGTTTGTTTTTTTTTTATAAAAAAGATAAATAGATAAATTAGAATTCAAATAGAATAGAAAGAGCTAGATTTAGAGGGTGAAATAAAGATGGAACAGATGTGTTTTTAGTCGTTTCTTGAAGATGGCTAAGGATTCAGCTGCTGGGATTGAGTTGGGCAGGTCATTCCACCAGGAGGGAACAGTTAATGTAAAAGTCCGTGAAAGTAATTATCCCTGACTTCAGTGAGTGGGTGGGGATAATGGGGTCGGAAGAGGGAGATTTCTCGCTGTTAACACTCAGGCATGGTTGTAAATGCATGCCTGATGCCCAGGTGTCAGTAGAGGATTGTCTGATAGTCGTGAGTGCGGCGGTCAGTGGCGCTAACATCAGGTTATCGAACGTACCTCCGTTTGTTAAAAACGAAAAATTAGAGCAAATACTCCAGAGGTATGGGAAAATAGTGAGTCCTATTAAAATGTTTCCACTCGGATGTAAAAATCCTGATATTAAACATGCAATGTCTTTTCGGCATCAGGCTTTTATGATTTTGAATGCTCAGAGTGATCCGTTAAATCTGTCGGTGAAACTAAGCATTGATGGCAAAGATTACACTACTTTTTATTAATTCAGACTCGATGAGATGCTTTATGTTTTCATTTTGGACACGTTAGACAAACTTGCCCGAATCGAGACAGGCCGGAAGGCCTTCCTGCGGCTCCGGCTGCAGATGCGGAGAACAGCAAGAGTCGCCCCAGCCAGGTGAGGCATTTTCGGCGCTGGGTGACTTGCACGAGAGACTGGCACTGGTTGCCTCTAAAGACGGCCTGGTGGAGGCTGCTGAGGAGGCGGCCGGGCCGAGTCATATTCCCGCTGTACCGCAGGCAGAGACGAGCCTGGAACAGGTGTGCTTGCAGTCCGTGCCCGAGACCGATTCGCTTTGTTTTGGAAAACAAA